GATAATGTTGGAATTGCATTGGAGGGCACCCAGCTGGTGTCTGCTGCAGAATTGGTTGCTTGCTTGTGTATGGGCTCACGGAAGTTTTCTGCGTTAATCATTGTAGTGTGAGAGCAGAGGAAAACATTTTGTCTTTCCACACTCCTAAAGCATTTCAGGGCCGGGCTCGGTGGCTCAGGCCTGTAATCCCAGCTCTTTGGGAGGCTGAGAGGCGGGTGTATCATGAGGTCAAGAGATCGAGACCATCCTGGTCAACATGGTGAAACCCCGTCTCTACTAAAAATACAAAAAAATTAGCTGGGCATGGTGGCGCGTGCCTGTAATCCCAGCTACTCAGGAGGCTGAGGCAGGAGAATTGCCTGAACCCAGGAGGCGGAGGTTGCAGTGAGCCGAGATCACTCCATTGCACTCCAGCCTGGGTAACAAGAGTGAAACGCCATCTCAAAAAAAAAAAAAAAAAGCATTTCAGTAGTTCAGACCTATGACGGGGCCTTGTACTTATAAGTTATGAAATCTGTAGGTCAAGTATAGATTGTCTAGACTGAGTACCTTGGAGGTCTTAATATCAGGAAACATGTGAAGGGCTGTGAATAGACTGAAATATCTGAAAATTAATGGCTAGGACTCACTAACTGTAAGTGGGGGCCTTCTCTTAGCAGTGAGATGTGAGGATGTGATGATATAACAAGAGCTCTAGGCTGAGTGCGTTAGCTTACACCTGTAGTCTCAGCACTTTGGGAGGCTGAGGTGGGTGGATTGCTTGAGCTTAGGAGTTTGAGTACAGCCTGGGCAACATGGTGAAACCCCATCTCTAAAAAAATAAGCTGGGTGTGGTGACATGCGCCAGTAGTCTCCAGCTACTTGGGAGGCTGAGGTGGGAGGATCACTTGATCCAGGGAGGATGAGGCTGCAGTGAGCCTGAGCCTGGTGTTTGTACCACTTTAGCCTGTATGTCAGAGTGAGACTGTGTCTCTCAAAAAAAAAAAAAAAAAAAAAAAAAAGCCTGGATACAATGGCTCACACCTGTAATCCCAGCACTTTGGGAGACTGAGGCAGGCAGATTAGTTGAGGTTAGGAGTTCAAGAGCAGCTTGGTCAACATGGTGAAACCCCATCTCTACTAAAAATATAAAAAAACTAGCTGGTGATATGAGCCCTGTAGTCCCAGCTACTAGGGAGGCAGAGGCAGGAGAATTGCTTGACCTGGGAGGCAGAGGTTGCAGTGAGCCAAGATCACGCCACTGCACTCTAGTGTGGCAACTGGGCCAGACTCCTTCTCAAAAAAAAAAGAAATTAATTGGTTATATTGGATTTTATTTTTTGGAATCTATTGAGATAACCATTTTAAAAAAATCTTACTAATTGGAATTTCTAATGTAAAAGCTGTTGTGGCATTACCGAGAAGAATCCCTTTGGCCATGGTCTGTTAATCTTACTGTACAACTTTGTGTATGTATGTATGTATTTATTTATTTACTTATTTGAGATGAAGTCTCTTTCTGTTGCCCAGGCTGGAGTGGGGTGGCATGATCTGCAGTGGCAATATCTTGGCTCACTGCAGCCTTTGCTTCCTGGGTTCAAGCGATTCTCCTGTCTCAGCTTCTGAGTAGCTGGGATTACAGGCATGTGCCACCACGCCCTGCTAAGTTTTGTATTTTTAGTAGAGATGGGGTTTTGCCACGTTGGCAAGGCTAGTCTGGAACCCCTGACCTCAGGTGATCCACCTGCCTCCGCCTCTCAAAGTGCTGGGATTACAGGCATGAGCCACTGCGCCTTTAGGCGTACTTACTGAGTATATTTAATAAATGTTTAAAGCTAGATATTTCCGTTTAGTTACTACTTTGGGTAAGTACTAATTTGGGTATATCCTATTGGCGTCAGTATGTATTGTATTCTCATTGTCATTCATTTAAACATAAATTTTGTTTTGATTTCCTTTTTAATCCCAGAGTTAATAGATGGTTTAAGATTTTTCAAGTAGATAGATTGATTTCTTTGTTGGATTAATTTCTAATTTTGAGATTTTACAGTAAGTTAATGTGATTTGTTCTTTGGAATTTGAAGTTCTTTAAGCTAGGGCAGTTAGTTAATTTTTGTGAACGGTTTGTGGGTTTTTGTTTTGTTTTGTTTTGTTTTAGACAGAATCTTGCTCTGTCACCAGGTAGCAGGCTGGAGTACAGTGGTGCAGTCTCAGCTCACTGCAACCTCAGCCTCCCTAGTAGCTGGGACTACAGGCGTATGCCACCACGCCCAGCTAATCTTTGTATTTTTAGTAGAGATGGGGTTTCACCATGTTGGCCAGGATGGTATCGATCTCTCGGCCTGGTTTATGGGTTTTTTAAGGAATATTTGGTTGCATAGTTTTGTTTTTGGTTTGTTTTGGCAGACAGTCTTGCTGTCGCCCAGGCTGGAGTGCAGTGGTGTGATCTCGGCTTACTGCAGTCTCTGCCTCCTGGTTGTTCAAGCGATTCTCCTGCCTCAACCTCCTGAGTGGCTGAGACTACAGGTATGCACCACCGTGCCTAGCTAATAGTTTTTGTCTTTTTTTTTTTTTTTGACACGGAGTTTCGATGTTGTTACCCAGACTGGAGTGCAATGGCACAATCTTGGCTCACCGCAACCTCTGCCACCTGGGTTCAAGCAAATCTCCTGCCTCAGCTTCCCGAGTAGCTGGGACTACAGGCGCACACCACCATGCCCAGCTAATTTTTGTATTTTTAGTAGAGACGGGGTTTCACCATGTTTACCAGGAAGGTCTCGATCTCTTGACCTTGTGATCCACCCGCCTCGGCCTCCCAAAGTGCTGGGATTATAGGCGTGAGCCACCACGCCCGGCCGGTTTTTGTCTTTTTTATTTTTTGTGGAGATGGGATTTCATCATGTTGGCAAGGCTGGTTTCGAATTCCTGACCTCAACAGAGTCACCCACCTTGGCCTTCCAAAGTGCTGGGTAAATTACAGGCATGAGCTGCTCGCCCAGCTGTTTTTGTTTGTTTGTTTTTTGTTTTTTTACAGAGTTCTATTTGTTTTTATTTGATCCACCTTATTAGCTGTGATATTAAAATTCTTTTTACCATACTTTTGTGTGTGTGTAATCTAAAATGTCTGAAGTCTGTGTCATTCTCATACTGACTTGTAGATGTGTCAGTTTCTCTTTGTTAATATTTTTTTGAAATATGTGTTAATGTGCATGAGGACCATGGCTATTACATTCATCAGTTGAACTTTTTACGCACATGATACAGTTTTTTTGTTCCCTCTTAATGTTTTTCTGGGTTAAGTTGTTTGGTCTGCTAGTATTGTATCTGCTTTCTGGTAACATTTGCTTGATACAGCGGAGTGGCATTCTTCTGGCATTTATTTTACTCTTTAAATTCAAGTGTATAAATTTAGCAAGTCATATCATCAATAACTATATGATAGTGAGTATAGAGATGAGAATGGTGAATATCCTTTCCCCTATAGATGACTGTTTGGAGCGACACCTCTCATGTGAGCATAGCTCCTTGCCAAATGTAATGCTAGTCTTGAAACAGGGTATGACTTTTACTGTACCGTGGCTCTTAAATGTAAATCAGCTGCTCTATCTAGTATATTCATTTCCAGTGAGGTGCTTAAGAGTGCTTAAGATTTTGATATGTGTAATACTTTTGACTAAATGGCATTTTCATCTTTCAAAGCATTCAGCTTCTCCTCATGATGTGACTCCGTTCTGGGTGATTTACTATTTTTCCTTTAGTTTGCTTGTATAATCTTGTTTGAGATGTCTTTTTACATCAACATATGCTTGAATTTCTCCTTTTTCCCCTCCTAATTCCTGGTTAAGCTCACAGAATTTCCTCTTCAATCTAGAAGGGAAATTTAACCTATTTGTGATCACTGATAAGTTTGCATTCATTCTCATCATCATTTATTTTTTAAATTATTTTTTAATTTTTTTGAAATGAAGTCTTACTCTGTTGCGTAGGCTGGAGTGCAATGGCACAATCTCGGATCACTGCAACCTCTGTCTTATGTGTTCAAGTGATTTCCTGCCTTACAGCTTACCAAGTAGCTGGGGTTACAGGTGTGCACCACCATACCCAGTTGATTTTTGTATCTTTAGTAGAGATGGGGTTTCACCATGTTGGCCAGCCTGGTCTTGAACTACTGATCTCAAGTGATCCACCTGCCTTGGCCTCCCAAAGTCTTGGGATTACAGGCTTGCTTTTATTTATTTATGAGACAGGATCGTGTTCTGTTGCCAGGCCGGAGTGCAGTGGTTCTGTCATAGCTCACTGTAGCCTCAAACTCCTTGGCTCAAGCGATTCTCCTGCCTCAGCCTCTCAAGTAGCTGGGACTATGGTTGCATGTCATCATGCCTACATTTTTTTTAGAGATGTGGTCTTACACCAGGCATAATGGCTCATGCCTGAAATTTCAGCACTTTAGGAGGCTGACATGGGTGGATCACAAAGTCAGGAGTTTGAGACCAGCCTGGCCGATACGGTGAAACCCCGTCTCTACTAAAAATGCAAAAATTAGCTGGGCGTGGTGGTGTATGCCTGTAATCCCAGCTACTTGGGAGGCTGAGGCAGGAGAATTGCTTGAACCCGGGAGGCGGAGGTTGCGGTGAGCCAAAATGGCACCACCGCACTCCAGCCTGGGCAACAAGAATGAGACTGTCAAAAAAAAAAAAAAATACAAAAGAGATACGGTCTTACTGTATTGTCCAGGCTAGTCTCCAACTCCTGGCCTCAAGGGATCCACCCACTTTGGCCTCCCAAAGTGTTGGAATTATAGGCATGAGCCACCACACCTGGCTGTTTTGTATTTCCTATACTTTTTCCCTTTTCTTGTCATTCAGTTATTTTGAACTGATTGCTTTTTTCTAGTGTGAAAGTCATGTTGTTTTCCTCCTCTGGAGTTACCTCTAAATTTTGACACATTTAAACTATCACTTCTCTATTCTTATGTAGAATTAATCAGAATCTATCTTTTCTTCCCTTTTTCAACAAGACAGAACTGCTGCTTGCTTTCATTTCCTTCTCCTTTCTCTTCCCTCTTCAACTTCCTATGTCGAAATCATGTAAGTATTTTAGTTTCGGACTGCTTATTTTTCTAAAAGACAGTACTTTTGTTTATTTCTTAGAGCTCTTAGATAAAAAAAAAATTCTTAAATTTCTTAAAGCCCTTGGATGTTTTAATATTACGATGGCATTCATCTACCATGTTAGGGAAGGTTTTTGAGTAGTAAAGTTGATCCTTTACATGTGTAAAAATTGTTTTTGCACTCTTGAAAGCCTATTCGATTGGCTGGATACAAATTTCAAAATAATTTTTCTTACAACTTTGAAGCCAGTGCTCCATTGTCTTCTGGCATCTGTGCTGCTGATGAAAAGTCTAATACTGACTTTTATGTGATCTGTGTGTCTTTACAGGAATTCAGTTTTTTCCTTATGATATCTTGAAATTTCAATAGGATGTGTCTAAGTTGTCTTCCCCTTCTCTCCTGACTGATAAACACTGTTCAACACTTAGAGTAACCTGATGATTTGTGTCCTTCCTCTCCCCAAGGAAATATCTAGAACTCACATAAGATGTTGGTCTTTCTGGTTCTGTATTCTCTCTCTCTCTTTCTTTTTTTTTGTTAAATTAGAGACAGGGTCTCTGTCACCCAGGCTGGAGTGCAGTGGTGTGATCATAGCTCACTACAGTTTTGACCTCCTGGGCTCAGCGATCCTCTCACTTCAACGTCTTAAGTAGTTGTGACTACAGGTATTTGTTTTTTTTTTAGATAGAGTCTTACTCTGTTACCCAGACTGGAGTGCAGTGCCACAATCTTGGCTCACTGCAACCTCCGCCTCATGAGTTTAAGTGATTTCTGGCTAATTTTTGTATTTTTAATAGAGACAGGGTTTCATCCTGTTGGCCAGGCTGGTCTTGAACTCCTGACCTCAAGTGATCTGCTGCGTTGGCCTCCTAAACTTCCAGGATTATGAGCATGAGCCACCGTGCCCAGCCTCTTTTTTTTTTTTTTCTTTCAAGTAGTGATAGGGTCTGTCTGTGTTGTACTGGCTTGTCTTGGACTCCTGGCTTCAAGTGATCCTCCCGTCTCAGCCTCCCAAAATGTTAGGATTACAGTTGTGAGCCACTGCGCCTAGCCAGGTTCTGTTTTCTCTGTATTGACCTTTCCTTTTTGTTTTCCATTTATTTTTTCTGTGCCCATTTTGCTGTTAAATTTATCTGTCCAGCTTCATTTTACCAATTGTTTTCTCTCTTTTATAACAGTGCGTTTAATGAGTTGTAATTTACATACAATAAATTTAATCCATTTAAAATATACAATTCCATGAGTTTTGATATAGACACACACACGCGTGCGCGAGCGTATGTGTGTATGTGTATATAACCCTTTTACCCACAAACAAGATTTGGTTTACCACAGAGTTTTTTCCTGCCCTTGTGCAGTCCAACCCCAGCCCTCAAGCCTATGATTTGTTTGCTTTCAGATGTAAAAATGATTAGTTTGCAGGTTTTGTGTTTTTTTTTTTTTTTGAGACTGAGTCTTGCTCTGTTGCCGAGGCTCTCGGCTCATGCAACCTCCGCCTCCCAGTTCAAGTGATTCTCCTGCCTCAGCCTCCCAAGTAGCTGGGATTACAGTTGCACTCTACTACGCCCAGCTAATTTTTGTATTTTTAGTAGAGACGAGGTTTCTCACCATATTGGCCAGGCTAGCCTCTTACTTCTGACCTCAGGTGATCCACCCGCCTTGGCCTCCCTAAGTGCTAGGATTACAGGCATGAGCCACTGCGCCTGGCCGGTTTGCATTTTCAGAAGTTTCAAGTGAATGAAAAAATATAGTATGTAGCCTTTTGTGCAAGGTTTCTTTTACTCAGCCTGTTTTTGAGATTCATGCATATTAAATATATAGTAATTTGTCCTTTTTTTTGTTTTGTTTTGAGATCATTTTCCCCCACAACTAGGAAATTGAACATGGACAAACCTTATTCAAAGTTTGCCAATTTTAGCCGGACATGATGACTCAGGCCTGTAATCTCAGCATTTTGGGAGGCCAAGCTTGGAGGATTGCTTGAGGCCAGGAGTTGGAGATGAGCCTGGACAGCATAGTGAGACCTTGTCTCTACAAAAAACTAAAAAATTAACTGGCATGGTTGTGTTTTTGTAGTCCTAGTTACTTGGGATGCTGAGGCAGGAGGATTGCTTGAGTTCAGGAATTAAAGGTTACAGTGAGTTGTGATTGAGCCATTGCACTCCAGCCTAGGCAACAGAGTGAAACACTGTCTCTAAAAATAAAAGGTGTCTCTAAAAATAAATATCAACAGTTTTGCATAAACTCTTGCAATTAAATAAACTCTTGTATTTAGTTGTATATGATTTTATCATGTTAATTTTTGCAACCACACACATCCGTCAATTGTTTTTTAATTTTTGATTTTCTCTGTGGTAGCTTATTTTTTATGGATGAGATATAATTTTGCCTCTGAGAATATTTATGATTCTCTTGTTTATTCCTGCAACTCTTTCTTCAGATAGTTTCTCGTTTTTGTGGTGTTAATTTCCCTTTTAGTTTTTCTAGTTTGTAAAAGTGATAATCTCTGATTTGAGAATTGCTATTCTGCCAGTGGATTACCAGTTGGTCAGGATGGATTGTAGGGGAGGTATGAGACGTGTTGCAAATTACAGGGCAGAATGTCTCCTTATCTCTTCTGGGTAATAGCAGCCACCTGAGTGCCATTCTGATTCTGGGGCTCCAGTGATTGTTCCCAGAAAGACTTTGCTTCTGTGGGGGTTGGGGATAGAACATGGTTATTGGTAGAGGGAATGGTCTGTCTACCTGTGCCCAAACACATTTCTCCACCATCACTTGTGACTGCACCAAACCTGGTTTTGTTGCTCCGTGGTAGCCACCATCCCTGCAGCTTGGATAAGAGCACCCCTACGTGCTCTTACCTTCATAGTTGCACTCAGTTTTAATAGCATTCCTCTTTTGAGGCTTCTGCATGGTTATTGCCTCTGTAAACCTAATTCTGCTGCTATCTTTTCCTGTTTCCCAGAATTATTTTAGAAAATAATATATCAATACACCCATGTCTTTTTATTTTTTGAGACGGAATTTTGCTCTGTCACCCAGGCTGGAGTGCAGTGGTGTGATCTTGGCTCACTGCAACCTCTACCTCCCGGGTTCAAGCAATTCTCTTGCCTCAGTCTCCTGAATAGCTGGGATTACAGGTGCCCGCCACCATGCCCAGCTAAATTTTGTATTTTTAGTAGAGACAGGATTTCACCATGTTGTGCAAGCTGGTCTTGAGCTCCTGACCTCAGGTGATCTGCCCTCCTCGGCCTCCCAGAGTGCTGGGATTACAGGCCTGAACCACCGGGCCTAAACCCACATCTTTAGTATTACTATCTAGGATTTAGGTTAGGAGGGGAAGCGTGTACCTATGCTCCTTGACTTATGATGGTGCTCAATTCCATAAACATACCAGAAGTTGAGAACACTGTAAATCATGCTGGCCACAGTGGACACTCATGCTTGTAATCCCAGCACTTTGGGAGGCTGATGTGGGTGGATTCCTTGAGCCCAAGAGTTCGAGACTAGCCAGGGCAACATGTAGAAACCCTGTTTCTACAAAAAATACAAAAATTAGCTGAGTGTGGTGCCATGTACCTGCAGTCCCAGCTACCCAGGAGGCTGAGGTAGGAGGATTACTTGGGCCCAGGAGGCAGAGATTGCGGTGAGCTGAGATTATGCCACTGCACTGCAGCTTGGGTGACAGAGTGAGATGCTGCTTCAAAAAAGAGAAAAAGAAAATATTGTAAGTCAAAATGCATTTAATAAACCCAACCTACTGAACATCATAGCTTAGCCACACCTACCTTAAATATTCTTAGAATATTTAAATTAGCCTCCAGTTGGGCAAAATCTTCTAGTGTAAAGTTAGACGATTTAATAATAATATAAAAGATAATTATTTTACAATAAAGTGTTGAATATCTCATGTAATTTATTGAATACTGTACTGAAAGTAAAAAACAGAGTAAGTACTTGAAGTTGGGTTTCTACTGAATGCTTGCTGCTTTTACACCATTGTAAATTTGAAAAATAATCACTTTGACCCCTCCTTACGTTGGGACCTTCCATATGTCTGTGTAGTACATTTTGATCCAATCTCTTCAGGCCTTTTTTTTTTTTTTGAGATGGAGTCTCGCTTTGTCACCCAGGCTGGAGTGCAGTGGTGCCATCTCAGCTCACTGTATCATCTGCCTCCCGGGTTCAAGCGATTCTCCTGCCTTAGCCTTTCGAGTACAGGCGCCCGCCAGCATGCCTGGCTAATTTTTATATTTTTAGTAGAGACGAGGTTTCACCATGTTGGCCAGGCTAGTCTTGAATTCCTGACCTCAGGTAATCTGCCTTGCCTCAGCTTCCCAAGGTGCTGGGATTATAGGTGTGAGCCACTGCTTCCTACCCCCGCCCCCTGCCTTTTTTTTTTTCCTTAATACTGTCTCGCTCTGTCGCCCAGGCTTGAGTGCAGTAGTGCGATCTCAGCTCACTGCATTCTCCATCTCCTTGGTTCAAGAAATTCTCCTGTTTCAGCTTCCCAAGTAGCTGGGACTACAGGTGCGTGTCACCACACCTGGCTAATTTTTGTATTTTTAGTAGAGATGGGACTTCACCATATTGGTCAGGCTGGTCTCGAAATCCTAACCTCAGGTGATCCACCCCCCTCCCCTTCCCAAAGTGCTGAGATTACAGGCGTTAAGCCATTGTGCCTCGACTTTTTGGGAACCGATGTTAACGTCTGTTGAAACCTTTTATATTTGATATCACATTTTGTTGATAGATACATTGACCATTTTAGCCTATATGTTACATAGTGTTGGGAATTTCCTAATTCTAGTTTGCTACTAAACCTGACCTCTGAAGTCTCAATGTTTCTCTTTTAAGCTAATAGGAAAGATAGAGATTTTCATTCTGAATCTTTTTCACGGTTGAGGCATATTGAGTAGTCACCTTGTTGTTTTTGTCTTTTTTTTTTTTCCTTTCACCTTGTTGTTTTATTTTATTATTATTATTTTTTAAGACGCGGGGTTTCACCATGTTGGCCAGGCTGGTCTTGAACTCCTGACCTCAAGTGATCCACACGCCTGGCCTATACCTTGTTATTTTTTTTTTTTTGTTTTTTTTTTTTTTTGTTTTTTTAAGAGACAGAGTTTCACCATGTTGGCCAGGCTGGTCTTGAACTTCTGACCTCATGATCCACCCGCCTTGGCCTCCCAAAGTGCTGGGATTACAGGTGTGTGCTACCGCACCTGGCTTCTTATACCTTGTTATATTAAAAATACTTCATAATGCATGCCATTTGGGCTTGTTTGACAGGATGGTTGGGTTGGCTCAATACTTTGATATTTTTCTTTTTCATCTTTGCTCTAGTATGTTTTTTTTTTATAAGATAATGCATCTAAATCAAGACGGAATCACATTTCTTTGTCCCAAAACCTTTTTGTTTAGAATTAACGTTCTTTGGAAACCATAGGGTTTGAAATATGTTGCTACTGTGGTAACTGTAAATTTAGTTTTCAGAAAAAAGCTGTTCTGACTTGTTTTTCTTTCCCATTTAGTTTTTCCATGGTTTGGCTTGGATATCGGTGGAACTCTGGTCAAGCTGGTTTATTTTGAACCCAAAGACATCACCGCTGAAGAAGAGGAGGAAGAAGTGGAAAGTCTTAGAAGCATTCGGAAGTATCTGACTTCCAATGTGGCGTATGGGTCCACAGGCATTCGGGATGTGCACCTCGAACTGAAGGACCTGACTCTGTGTGGACGCAAAGGCAATCTGCACTTTATACGCTTTCCCACTCATGACATGCCTGCTTTTATTCAAATGGGCAGAGATAAAAACTTCTCAAGTCTCCACACTGTCTTTTGTGCCACTGGAGGTGGAGCATACAAATTTGAGCAGGATTTTCTCACAGTATGCATTTTTTAGCTTATATACAATATATGGCAATTTGATTGTTAAAAATAATACCAGTAGCAAGTGGTGAAATAATTTTCATCTCTAATGAAACTTGAATTTTCTTGAGTCAAATGAAGATTAAAAGTATCCTAGTGATAGTCAGGTGTTAGCCATCTAGAGCTGGTTGTATAGTTCAGATGTCTGGATGACAGTCAGAGCCACTAAAAAGGTAGCATTTTGTTCCTTTAGTATGAAAAAGTAGGGCATCCGCTATATGTTGAGTAAGGAACTGCCTTTGAGGAACATCATTAGATCTTGAACGAGATTTAAATATTTTTATATCATAAAATTGTTTTCGGGCCAGGTGCGGTGGCTCACGCTTGTAATCCCAGCACTTTGGGAGGCCTAGGCAGGTGGATCATGAGGTCAAGAGATCGAGACCATCCTGGTCAACATGGCGAAACCCCGTCTCTACTAAAAATACAAAAAAATTAGCTGGGCGTAATGGCATGTGCCTGTAGTCCCAGCTACTCAGGAGGCTGAGGCAGGAGAATTGCCTGAACCCAGGAGGCAGCGGTTGCGGTGAGCCAAGATTGCGCCATTGCACTCCAGCCTGGGTAACAAGAGTGAAACTCCGTCTCAAAAAAATAAAAAAAATTGTTTTCATTTTCTGTCTGCCACATAATTTTTCTCCCTCAGTTGTTTCCTGGCATGTTCACTAGCTGAAAAAAACAAGGAACTCTGGTCCAAGGTGTTTCCAGGCTCAGGGCTGGTCTCAGATAGGTGACTGCAGAGCCCTCCTCTCCCAGAATGCCTTCTGATGTGTTGTCCTGTGCTGCACACTTAACTGGAGTCTCTCCGCCATGTCTGGCCCCTGGGGGAGTGCTGCCAGGCACTTTTTCTTGCTTTCATTGAGTGAACACTGGAGAACATTGTGAACAAGGCCTTGAGGCTAGGTCTTTTCAGCGTGGATGGAGGGGGTAGGCCAGAGAACTGACAAATGAATTGGCCAAGATCCTGATCTTCAGGGTGCAATACAGATTGAAAATGTCTTCAGTGACTATGTTTTTCTATTGCTAAATGAGTCTGAAGGAGATTCTGCCTTGGTTATTCTGCATGTCTTTTTTTTTTTTTTTTTTTTTTTTTTTTTTTAAGAGATGGAGTTTCGATGTTGTTACCCAGACTGTAGTGCAGTGGCACGATCTCGGCTCACCGTAACCTCTGCCTCCTGGGTTCAGGCAATTCTCCTGCCTCAGCCTCCTGAGTAGCTGGGATTACAGGCACGCGCCACCATGCCCAGCTATTTTTTTGTATTTTCAGTAGAGACGGGGTTTCACCATGGTGACCAGGATGGTCTCGATCTCTTGACCTCGTGATCCACCCGCCTCGGCCTCCCAAGGAAACAAAATTCTTAACTTCTAACTGGATACTGTCCGCCTTTTGGCTTCAGTTGTTAAATAATATGTGGCCTCGGCTGCGTGTGGTGGCTCATGCCTGTAATCCTAGCCCTTTGGGAGGCCGAGGCGGGCGGATCACGAGGTCAAGAGATCGAGACCATCCTGGCCAACATGGTAAAACCCCGTCTCTACTAAAAATGCAAAAATTAGCTGGGCATGGTGGCGCACGCTTGTAGTCCCAGCTACTCGGGAGGCTGAGGCGGGAGAATTGCTTGAACCCGGGAGGCAGAGGTTGCAGTGAGCCGAGATCACGCCACTGCACTCTAGCCTGGTGCCTGGCAATGGAGCAAGACTGTCTCAAAAAAAAAAAAATCATGTTCTCTTCTGATACTGCTCCAAACCATTGAGTTGGTCTTCTGTCGCAGTCCTTGTGGCTCCTGGCCTGTGTCACCAGATGCTTTCTGATAGCGTTGTGGCCTGAGCTGTGCATTAGCTTCATCGTCCCTGTAAGCAGAGATCTAGATTTCTGCTTGAAAGTTGATAAATTTCGTGGGGTTTTTTTTTTTGGTCACTTACTCAGCTACTGCAGTAGTTTCTATGTAGAGTGTATTTACGTCTGCGGTAGCAGGAGTCTGTCTCAGCACTCTGTCCCTCTGTTTGTTCTAAAGCATGCACAGGTAATACCCATCTGTGAGTGCACTTCTATGGTTTGTTTCAGGTTAGTGGAGATGTCTTATTGAGTGAAATTTTTGTTTCTGTTGGCTTATTAAAAAATCTGAGTACATTCTTATTTCATTACAGATAGGTGATCTTCAGCTTTGCAAACTGGATGAACTAGATTGCTTAATAAAAGGAATTTTATACATTGACTCAGTTGGATTCAATGGACGGTCCCAGTGCTATTACTTTGAAAACCCTGCTGATTCTGAAAAGTGTCAGAAGTTACCATTTGATTTGAAAAATCCTTATCCTCTTCTTCTGGTGAACATTGGCTCAGGGGTTAGCATCTTAGCAGTATATTCCAAAGATAATTACAAACGGGTCACAGGTACTAGGTAAGTTGTATATAAAAGTCATTATTTATTCTTAATATCGTAACAGGCTGAGTTTTCAGGCATTACATATAACTGCACCTTCAAGAACCTGTTAGGTGAAAGATTTAAATGTTTCTCGATTATGCAAACAAATGTTTCTCTTTGAAAATTCTGATTTTATGACCTAGTTTTCTTTAACCTCTACTGTTCAAGATTTATTATTCTAGGTGTTTCCTAAAAGATCACGTCCGCAGACTCATTGTAGCCCTTGCCCTCAGATCATTTATGGTGTGCATATACAAAATAGCTAACGTTATTAGGCAGCATCTGTAAGGAGAAGGCATGGGAAAGGGCCCAGCTTTGAAACCTGTGTAAATTTCATGCTTCTACACACACATATGTGACTTAGAAGTTGACATGTATTGATCAGTAGAAAAATTGAGCCGTAGTCTGAAAAGAGAAGATTAGGGCGGGGTGTGGTGGTTTACGCCTGTAATCCCAGCACTTTGGGAGGCTGAGGCAGGTGGATCACCTGAGGTTAGGAGTTGGAGATCAGCCTGACTAACATGGAGAAACCCTGTCTCTACTAAAAAAATACAAATTAGCTGGGCGTGGTGGTGCATATCTGTAATCCCAGCTACTTGGGAGGCCGAGGCAGGAGAATCACTTCAGCCTGGGAGGCCAGGGTTTCGGTGAGCCAAGATAGCGCCATTGCACTCCAACTAGGGCAACAAGAGTGAAACTCTGTCTGAAAAAAAAAAAAAAAAAAAAGGATTAGATGGAAGAAGAGAATGTTTTGGCTTAAGGGTCAGAGGTTACTTCAGGAAAAACAGGGATCTAGGGACTGGGATAAACAAATTTTTAGAAAACAGTTATGATTTAAATAGAGGAGTAATTTTTTGGGGGACAAAACACATTGCAGGAGGAGTATAATGGGCGGGGGGGAGGGCACTGATGAGCCAGGGTGACAAGGTGCTTGGATGAGAATGACTCAGGGAATGTACTTGGAGTGGGAAAGGGAGGAGGTGTTAGCATGGCCCCAGCTAGACTGTGCTGGTTCCATGGGCCCTGTTTTGCAGCTTTGCATGTTAGCTCACATACATATATGTCTCAAAGGTGTGTATCAGGCACCTTATCTTTTCACAGACTTGTTTCCTACCAGTGGTGTTTCGATGATTGGGTTGGATATGTGAATATGGTTTTGGGGTTCATAAATGGTACCTTCCTGTTCCTATTTTTAAAAATGTTATTATACTATGTTATTTTTGTTTAATTATAGTCTTGGAGGAGGAACTTTTTTTGGTCTTTGCTGTCTTCTTACTGGCTGTACCACTTTTGAAGAAGCTCTTGAAATGGCATCTCGTGGAGATAGCACCAAAGTGGATAAACTAGTACGAGACATTTATGGAGGGGACTATGAGAGGTTTGGTCTGCCAGGCTGGGCTGTAGCTTCAAGGTAAGGGGGCATGTGTGTGGTAAGAAATACAGGTGGGCTGGGCATGGTGGCTCATGCCTGTAATTACAGCACTTTGGGAGGCTAAGGTGGTAGGATTATGAGGTCAGGAGTTTGAGATCAGCCTGGCCAACATAGTGAAACCCCATCTCTACTAAAAATACAAAAATTAGCCAGGCATGGTGGTGCGCACCTGTAGTCTCAGCTACTCAGGAGGCTGAGGCAGGAGAATCACTTGAACTCGAGAGTCAGAGGTTGCAGTGAGCTGAGATTGTGCCACTGCACTCCAGCCTGGGCGACAGAGTAAGACTCCGTCTCAAAAAAAAAACAAAAAACAAAAAACCCCAGATATAAAATAATAATATTGGACATAATTTTTTAAAAAGCTTCGTTGGGATATAATTTACATACTATATTAAAGTGTACAGTTTAGTGGTTTCTAGTGTATTTACAGGATTGTGCAGCCATCACTATAATCCAATTTTAGGACATGATTATCATCCCAGAAAGAAACCTTGTTTTCATTAGCTACCATTCTTCTCTCCCCCACAGCCCCTGCCAAACAGTAATTTATTTTCGGTCTCTCTAGGTTTGCCTCTTCTGAACATTTTGTATAAGTGGCATCATACAGTATGTGATCTTTTGTAATTACTTCTTAATTTAGCTTGTTTTCCAAGTTCATCCATGTTATAGCGTGAATCAGACCTTTTTATTTCCAAATAATACTTTATTATGTTGGTAATACTACATTTTATCCATTTATTAATTGGTGAACATTTGGATTGTTTTTACTTTTTGGTTATTATGAATAATGTTGAACATTTGTGTGTCTCTGTATATGCATATATTTTGAAATCTCTTGGGTGTATACCTGAGAATAGAATTGCTGAGTCATATGGTAACTTAATGTTTAATCTTTTGAGGAACTGCTACACTGTTTTCCAGAGTGGTTCCCTTTTACAGTCTTAGCAGTTTATGGTTTAAATTTCTTGCCAAAACTTGTTATTGTCTGTCTTCTTGGTTTTAGTTGTCTTAATAGGAGTGAAGTGATACAGTGTTTTTATTTTTTAAGAGACAGGGTCTTGCCCTGTTGCCTATGTGAGAGTGCCGTGTTGCGATCATAGCTCACTGCATCTTTGATCTCCTGGCCTCAAGTGTTTGTCCTGCCTCAGCCTCTTGAGTTGCTAGGACTACAGCTGTGCACTGCCTCACCTTATTTTTTTTTGTAAAGATAGGGCCTTCCTATGTAGCCGAGGCTGGTTTCAAACTCCTGGCCTCAAGCGATCCTCCTATCTTGGCTTCCCAACATTTTGGGATTACAAGTGTGAGCCATCATAGCTGGCTGAACATCTTTTTTTGTTCATGTGGCAGGGTCTTGCTCTGTCACCCAGGCTGGAGTGCAGTGGTACCATTTCGCCTCACTGAAACCTCTACCTCCTGGGTTCAAGTGATTCTCCTGCTTCACCTCCTGAATAGCTGGGATTACAGGCACACCTGTAAAGTATGCCACCATGCCTGGCTAATTTTTGTATTTTCAGTAGAGATTGGGTTTCGCCATGTTGGCCAGGCTGGTTTCCTACTCCTGAACTCCTGACCTCAAGTGATCTGCTTGCCTCAGCCTCCCAAAGTGCTGGGATTACAGGTGTGAGCCACCGTGCCCAGCCTGAACATTTCTTTATATGTTTATTGGCATTTGTGGGTAGTCTTTAGAGTAAATACCTGCTCAAGTCTGTTGCTAAATTTTTAGTTGGATTTTTTTTTTTAAGATGGAGTTTCACTCTGTCACCCAGGGTGGAGTGCAGTGGCACTATCTCGGCTTACTGCAACGTGTCTCCCGGGTTCAAGCCATTCTCCTGCCTCAGCCTCCCAAGTAGCTGGGATTACAGGTGTGTGCCACTGTGCCTGGCTAATTTTTGTATTTTTAGTAGAGACAGGGTTTCAGCGTCTTGGCCAGGCGGGTCTTGAACTTGATCTCGTGAGCCACCACGCCTGGCTGGATTGTCTTTTCATTATTGAGTTCTGGATACAAGTCCCTTATCAGATATATAATTTGCAAATATTTTGTCCCATTTTGTTAGTTTTTTTTCAGTTCCTTGATGGTGTCGTTTGCAGCATAGAAATTTAAAACTTTTGTTTGTTACTTTTTTTTTCTGAGATGGAATCTTGCCCTGTCACCCAGGCTGGATTGCAGGCATGATCTTGGCTCACTGCAACCTCCACCTCTCTGGGATTACAGGCATGCACCACCACATCCAACTAATTTTTGTATGTTTAGTAGAGATATGGTTTCACCATGTAGGCCACACTGGTCTCGGATTCCTGATGTCGTGATTTGCCCACCTTGGCCTCCCAAAGTATTGGGATTACAGGCATGAGCCACTGTGCCCCGCCCTATCTTACTATCTTCTATTACTTGTGCTTTTGCTGTTATATGCTAGAAATGTAAGATCGTGTCAACAAGGTGAAACCCCATCTCTACTAAAAATACAAAAAATTAGCTAGGCATGGTGGTGCACGCCTGTAGTCCCAGCTACTTGGGAGGCTGAGGCAGGAGAATTGCCTGAACCCAGAAGGCGGAGGTTGCGGTAAGCCGAGATTGTGCCATTGCACTCCAGTCTGGGTAACAACAGCGAAACTCCGTCTCAAAAAAAAGAAATGTAAGATCGTGAAGAATTGCCTAATTTAAGATAATGAAGAAGAATTGTTTATTCTAAGAGTTTTATAGTTTTAGCTTTTATATGATCCATTTTGAGCAAGTTTTTATGTATGGTGTGAGGTAGATCACAAAGTTCATTTTGCATGTGGATATCCAGTTGTCCTCGTACCATTTGTTGAAAAGACAATTCTTTCCCTGTTAAATTCTCTTGGACCCTTTGTCAAAAATTATTTGACCATAGATGTTTGGGGTTTGTTTTATTTTTTGAGATGGAGTCTCGCTCTGTCACCCAGGCTGGAGTGCAGTGATATGATCTCGGCTCACTGCAACCTCTGCCTCCCAGGTTCAAGCAGCTCTGCCTCAGCCTCCCAAATAGCTGGGATTGCAGGTTGCATGGCTGCCATGCCCGGCTAATTTTTATTTTCTTATTTTTAGTAGAGTCAGGGTTTCACCATGTTACCCAGGCTGGTCTCAAACTCCTGAGCTCAGGCAGTCCACCCGCCTCAGCCTCCCAAAGTGCTAGGATTACAGGTGTGAGCCACCACATCTGGCCAGATGTTTGGGTTTATTTCTGGATTCTAAGTCTGTTCCATTGATATATATGCCAGTTCGACACTGCCTTCATACTGTAGCTTTGTATTAAGTTGTGAAGTAAGAAAGTGTGAGTCCTCCAACTCTTTTTCAAGATTATTTTGGCTATTCTGGGTACCTTGAGAATATGAATTTTAGGATTCACTTGGCAAGGACTGTCAAAAAAGACAGCTGGGATTTTAATAGAGATTACATTGAATCTTATGGCTAATTTGGGGAGTATTGCTATCCTAATACAAAGTCTTCTGATCCAAAAAGATGGAATGTCTTTCCATTTATTTAGATAATCTGCTTTCAAAAGTGTTTCGTAGATTTTATTGTACAGGTGTTACACTTTTGTTAGATATATCCCTAAGCATTTTATTGTCTTTGATGCTATTATAAATGAAATCGTTGTCTCAATTTTATTTTGAGATTGTTTAGAAGTACATTGTTTTTCATATTTTGAGACACAAGGCTTTTAATAGAAAAATCACTCATGGCTGAGTGTGATGGCTCACTCCTCTAATCCCAGCACTTTGGGAGGCCGAGGCAGGCGGATCACCTGAGGTAGGGAGTTCGAGACCAGCCTGATCAACATGGAGAAACCCTGTCTCTACTGAAAATATAAAATTAGCCGGGCGTGGTGGCGCATGCCTGTAATCCCAGCTACTCAGAAGGCTGAGTCAAGAGAATCACTTCAACCTGCTAGGCAGAGGTTGCGGTGAGCTGAGATCACACCATTGCACTCCAGCCTGGGCAATAAGAGCAAAACTTTGTCTCAAAAAAAAAGAAAAAAGAAAAATCACTTATATATACATGCTTGTTTACTAAGTTTAGGCACTTTATAAGTGCTGTTGGTTCATTTTCTTTGTTTGCAGCATTTGGTCACTACTTCCTTTTCTGATTGGAAAATTATTAATGTAGCAGTTCTGGCCACGTACTTTGAAGTCCTTTATCTTCTAGGGAAATCTGAAACTCTTTTAAGTAGCTCACTCTGGGACTCAGCTGTCTGGGCTTTGCTTTGCTCTGCTCTGATAGAGCAGTTTACCAGATGTGCATGTGACCATCTGAGTGGAACAGCTGTGCAGCTGAGATGAATTGCTGATAGAGCTATTGTTCTGGAACTGTGTGGTTGCAGGAGCAGTGGTGCCTTCCAGTGGGTCTGATGAGATTCTAACTGAATGTTTGAATATCTGTTGTCAAAGCTAGATTTCAGTAGAAACCGCAGGGAAAGCTGTCATTTAGAATGTTTGAGGCTTCTATTTGAAGTTGCATTTCTCTTTGAGCAGATGCTCCATTATTGCCAAATTAAAAGTTTGAAGATTTCAACAGTGTTGCCCTAAAAGCTAATTTTATTTCAGTACAGTAACATTCAAGTTCTGTTGGGCTGTGTTGCCTTTGGTTTAGCAATGGGATTTTTTTTTTTCTCCTCATCACAGCTTTGGAAACATGATGAGCAAGGAGAAGCGAGAGGCTGTCAGTAAAGAGGACCTTGCCAGAGCGACTTTGATCACCATCACCAACAACATTGGCTCAATAGCAAGAATGTGTGCCCTTAATGAAGTAAGGGGACGTGGATTTTTTTAAGTTGCTCTAAGGAAAATACTGAACTTAAGTGGGCCCCATCATGACACATCATATGTCTGTCTTCTCAGAACACTGCCTAAATGTAGTCATTTGGGGTGGGGTTTGTTTTAGCACAAAGTTAAAACTCTTCAAATACAGATTAATCTTCATTTTTTTTTAACTGAAGATAAACATTGCTACCTGTCTAGAGGTAAAATGACATCTTTTGAGGAGAAAGTAGAGGAAGAGTGGAAGGTAGCCAATGTTCCAGATACTGGGGACTGTTGGGGGTCATGATGGATCATGATGCCGAATGTAGACTCCACACTCACCACTGAGCTCTAGAGGCCCTAGGGAGGAATCCAGAGGAAGTGACTGAAGCTGGGAGAAGACTGAGCAGGCCGAGGAGTGCCCTCCTTGGCTACCCCACCTCAGCAGAGCTGCGTCTTTGTGCTTTCAGCTTCTTTACAGTGCTGCCTTGTAGCATTCAGGTCAAGCAGCATTGTACAGGGCTATGAAAGAACCAAGAATGGGCTGCCCTTGGGGAAAGAGGATCTAGGATCCGGTTGGTGCAGCTTATGGCTTGTCCCTATGTGTACAGTTCTTAAATTATTCTTTTTATTTTTAAAAAATTATTCTTTAAATAGAATATAGGCATGTGGCTTAAAAGGAAACCTTAAAAGGCACAAAAGGATTTGTCTCATTTTAAATAAAAAAAACTGTATCAGCATAAAATAATTAAACATTTATTTGTTTGAATATCATAATTTCTTTTTTCTTTATTTTATGTTTCCTTTCCTGTGCTTATGTATTTTCAGAAATTTTAGTTGGTGTGCATACCACAATTTGTATTTTATACTTAAATAATTTACATTTTATGGGTGTATATACGATCAAGTTCTTTTATATCATAATTCACATAAAGCTGGGCATTTGCTTGCTTGCTGATAACTTGGCAGTAAGCATTTTTAAGCATGAAGTTATTCTTTGGTTGAATTTTATTCTTGATACGGGGCTCACTTAGGAATGGGATTTCTGGTGTACAGAAATGACAATGTCATGGATTTGGTATGTATCGCCATGATGCCTTGCACAAGGCGGCACCAGTTTAGGTCATCTTTAGCAGTGAAGAGTGGATTCATTTTGTTACAGCTTTACTGATGGTGGTGGTAGAATTTCAGTTGCTTTTTTTTTGGCTAGCTTAATAGGTCTAAAATTTTACTTTCTTTGATGACTAGTGGTTTGAATTTTCCCCTGCCTGTTATATTGTTTGTATACTTTGCCTGTTTGTGTCACTGTCATTTTGAATTGGGGTCATGCTGTTTTTTTCCTTTTTTTAAACTTACCTTTATAAAACATTGTATTCAAAACTAGTTATTATTGGTCACATGTTATGTAAATGTTTTTCCTAATGTATTTTCTTCTTCTATGACAATGTCTAGCATGCTTTGCAGTGGGTCCAGAGTTGTCTGGGGATCAGCTTTAAGTAGCCCTGGACCAACTGGACTAAATTTGATCAGCAGTCAAATTGTTGCTAAGAGCATGCACATGGTACTCTATTGGGGTAGCTTTTATGAGAAGATAGAATTTAAGATGACAACTAACTGCCTTTTTTTGGTGTGCTCAGAACATTAACCAGGTGGTATTTGTTGGAAATTTCTTGAGAATTAATACGATCGCCATGCGGCTTTTGGCATATGCTTTGGATTATTGGTCCAAGGGGCAGTTGAAAGCGCTTTTTTCGGAACACGAGGTAAGCTGACTTGTTCCTTGTGGTATGTTATATACATAAAGGGCATGTGGGTCACAGTGGAGTGGGACTTGAGGTAGAGGTGAAATGGGCTGCAGTGTTTCTTTTGTTTTTTTGTTTTTTTGAGATGGAGTCTTGCTCTGTCACCGAGGTTGGAGTGCAGTGGCACGATCTCAGGGCTTACTGCAGCCTCTGCCTTCTGGGTTCAAGCAATCCTCCCACCTCAATCTCTTAAGTAGCTGGGATTACAAGTGTGCACCACCACACCCGGCTAATTTTTGTATTTTTAGTAGAGACGGGGTTTCAACATGTTGGCCAAGCTGGTCTCAAACTTCTGACCTCAAGTGATCTGCCCACCTCGGCCTCCCAAAGTTCTGAGATTACAAGCCATTGTACCCAACCTGTTTTGGTAGTTTTGACTTCGTAATGTTTAAAAGCTGTTTCTTCTTTGATACTAATGCAAAGTAGATTTTGGGTTAATTATAAGTTTAAAGAATTTTATAGAAAAACTCCTGATGAACATATATTTCTGATCCCATATTTTTGTCTGAACTATCCTTTATGTTTTTTCTGTTGCACTGACTGTAAGTGCCATTACTCCGGGTTCTGCTTTTTTCAGTGCCAGTTTTTATGTATTGTTGTAATTCATAAGCCATTTATATAAGATGCATGTTCTAAAAATGAATAGAACAGTAAACCTTTCAGACTAGAAACTATCATAACAACTTAAGTACAATTGTAGACAGGCTGGAGATGATGAAATGGAAAATAATTAAGTTACTCAACCTGATAGCCTGTCTTGGAAAGCACTCTTATTTTTCCTGTTTGGGGAAAAAAGCAGCAGAGATATGGGAGGTGAGGTAAGGGGTTCGTTTTCCCCTTCTTGGTTGTGGGTCAGTTGAACTATTATTTCAAGTGTTTTTGGATTTTAGATACTGAACATTTTTCAGAATTGTATTGCATATTTGGTTTAACAATTATGTGAATTAAAGGAAATCAAAGTCCAGATAATAGCACAGATTTGAAGTGCTATAAAGATTATTTTTTCTTTTAAAGTTACTTGAAGTTTTTCTCTTTAAATTGCTTTAGTTCATAGTTGAAAGTCCAAGTACACAAATTCCCATTATCAAGAAACTTAAAGCTGAAGTCAACTTAGTTTGAAAATTCTCACATTACTGTATTTGTAAACTAGCACTGAATTGCCATTAACTTTCTTATAGTTCATAATATTTCTGGATACATCTTTTTTTGATCTCTGACTTACTTTATTTTGCTTTCTATTAGAATTTTTAAAATGCTGTCACTTCTTTTCCTGCTTTATTTCTACGTCTTGCTTAACCTTTTCCTAGGAGTTAACCTTTAAAACAAACAAAAAATCAGGACACAGTGGCTTACACCTGTAATTTCAGCACTTCGGAAGGCTGAGGTGGGCAGATCACATGAGGTCATGAGTTTGAGACCAGCCTGGCCAACCATGATCTACTTGGCAAAACCCAGTCTCTACTAAAAATACAAAAATTAGCCAGGCACAGTGGCGGGCGCCTGTAATCCCAGCTACTCAGGAGGCTGAGGCAGGAGAATCTCTTAAACCTGGGAGGCAGAGGTTGCAGTGAGCTGAGATCACACCACTGTACTACAACAGCCTGGATGACAATGAGACTCCGTCTCAAAAAGGAAAAACCAAACTGATACCGTCATAATAGTAATAAGCCCTTCGTGAAATTTGTGGTTGCATTTTGTCCTTTTTTCTCGCCGACTTTGTTTTTTCTACTGGTTAGCTTAGTTGGTCCGTTTGTCCCTGTGTTTTCATTTTGCATTCAGGCCTTTGACTCTTGTGTCGATTTCTGCACTCGCGGAACTTTATTTTAGCTACTCTGAGTCTTGAAATACTCTCTTGCCCTCATTTGAAGTCACTGTTTTTTGTTTTTGAGACAGAGTTTCGCTCTTGTTGCCCAGGCCGGAGTGCAATGGTGTGATCTCAGCTCACTGCAACCTCCGCCTCCCGGGTTCAAGTGATTCTTCTGCCTCAGCTTCCCGAGTAGCTGGGATTATAGCATGCACTACCACGCCCAGCTTATTTTGTATTTTTAGTAGAGACAGGGTTTCTCCATGTTGTTCAGGCTGGTCTCAAATTCCCAACTTCAGGTGATCTGCCTGCCACAGCCTCCCAAAGTGCTGGGATTACAGGCATGAGCAACCGGGCCTGGCCCCATTGAAATCACTTTAAGTGTTGTTGTGAAAGTTTTTTAGAGTCTCTCAAGCTTTTCTCTTTCATCCTTTATTCTCATCTTAGCATGTTGTAGTTTATAACTATACCTGTTTCTGTCTTGATAGTAGCATCCCGGTCTTCAGTGGAACACACACACACACTCTCTCTCTCTCTTTTTATATATATATAAAATGCTTAACTTTATCTTCTATATTTTTAATTATAAAATTAAAGGTAAAGAAGCTATCTAAAACAAACTGCATAGTGTACTGTTAAGACAAACACCCTTGCATCTGTATTCTAGCTGTGCCTTGTCCTGTAGCTGCTGCTCCCTCACATCACAGATTGGTGTGGCTGCCTTTATTTTATTTATTTTATCTATACACACCAAAACCAAAGATGGTCAATGTGCCTTTTTTTTTTTGAAATGCGGTCTCACTGTCACCCAGGCTGGAGTGCAGTGGTTCAGTCTCAGCTCACTTGAACCTCTGCCCCCGTGTTCAAGTTATTTTCTTGCTCAGTCCCTCCTGAGTAGCTGGGACTACAGGCATGCGCCACTGCACCTGGCTAATTTTTGTATTTTTAGTAGAGACACGGGGTTCGCCATATTGGCCTGGCTGATCTTGAACTCCTGACCTCAAGTGATCCACCTGCCTCGGCTTCCCAGAGTGCTGGGATTACAGTTGTGAGCCACTGCACCCGGCCAATATGCCTTTCTTCTAAATTGACAAATAGAGTTTAACAAGACAGGCTTTGGCCTCTGTTGTTAGATCATATGTTTCTTGAAGAAGCTTTTCTTGAAAGATAGAGTGGTGTTTATGATGTTTCAGAGACTTGTAGTACATTATCTGAAAAAAAATTATATGCACGTCTTTCAGGATCTTCTCATATTTCTTTTTTAGTTATTTCTTTTAAAAAGTAGTCTGATACCTTAACTTATGGGTTGGAGACCCTGATGGGTTCTGCATCGTTTTAGGATTCACCTCTGATCCCTGCTAGCATTCCCTTTTCTATCATTGTGGGGTTTGCCTCATTTTCTCTAATGTAATATCCCTGTGTTTGGTTGTGAGTTCTTGGTTGCATGTGACCTGACTGCTTGCTTCTGGTGACAGTACAGTAGTAGTACTTGTCCTCTGTCAGCTGCTGCCTCTCTATCTTAGGAGGGCTGAGGACTGCCCTCCCTCAGGGAGCCTCTGTCTTCCTCAGGCTTTGCTCTTTGGTCTGTGCCTCTCTTCATGTCGCCTCTGGGTACTGTTGTTCATTCCTCTGCTGCCTGCTTCTGGGCCTGTGATCCCAGTGTCTGGTGACCACCCAGGCACAGCTGCTTGGCTGCTGTGGGCACCTCAGCCTCCCCACGTCCTGTAGGGAATTCACACACTGGCCTTGCTTTCCACATCTCTTACTCTTATGTCCCCATTCTCAGGGATGCTGCCTTTCCCTGCTGTCCTCGTCCCCCTCTGTTAGGACTGAATCTTGAATCCATCCTACCTCTTACTCTCATTCCCTCCCCAGCCCAGTTGGGAGGACACCCTCTGTGACCTGCCCCTCCACCTTCACCTGCTTCATTGCACTTCATATCCCATCTCTCCTTCATTCCTTAGCTGTCTGGAAATGCTCCTGGTCTCTGCTGCTTCTCACCTCCTCATTCCCCAGAAGCAGATTCTGTCTCTTACCAGAGGTGACTGAGCTGCTGCTAGCCTCAAAGCTCCTATTGGCCCCACTATGGGTTTGGTTTTGCTCTTATCACAGTGTTCTAGGGTGTCTGGAGAATCTAGGACATCCCCCCCCCAGATGGGGGACTCCTCAGGGTGTTTCTGCTCCCAGGCTGGCCTTGGCCCTTCTGGGGTGCTTAGGAAATGGGTATGCTGTGTGAAAGGAGCAGCAGCTTTAACACTAGTCATCACCTGCATGGTGATCTGGGTAAGTCTAAGGAAAATTGCACTTATTTTTGGTATATTTTCTTTCAGGGTTATTTTGGAGCTGTTGGAGCACTCCTTGAGCTGTTGAAGATCCCCTGATCGTTACCTGGGGAGGGGTTCCTGAAACCTTCCACAATGGGATCTGTGGACTCTCATTTTTTTAAGAGACTTACTCAGTTTCACAACTGTGTACTACCCGCATCAAAGTGAGAAAGGACATGTGTATTTTTCTAAGTCATCAAGATCAATTCTTAAAAATTCAATCTGAACTAGCAACCAGGAAGGAAAGATACATTAAAAACAACAAAAAAGTGGCCCGTGTCCAGGCAGTGTGAGGACTTGCTGTATATAAGTTGCCCTGCTATTTTTTGAAATCTGTGTCACTCACTGGAGATGCTTCAGAAGGGAGCTGCTTTGTGTTCAGTTGACTGTGGTTTTGTGTCTTTTTTGAACTCACTGAATGTAAGGCAGGCCTACTGTGTGTTACAATCGAATCACAATTTGTCAGTATGGTCTTGGCGGTCATCTGCATTACTCGGGTTTGCATTAAGCCTGTGTGTGAACTTGCTGTAAGACATGTTTTATTTTAAGGTTCTGCAAACTTAATTGGGCAAGTTAATTGTGTACCTGAAACTTAACAAGCGGTTTTTGGAAGGGCAGTTCCACGTTACTTTACACTAAATGCTGGGAATGGATGAATGGAAAGACAGGACTTTTCTTGGCAAGATTTCCTTGGGTAGTTGCGGGGCCATTGCGGGGGAGGGTGCTGTTCTTATGAAAGTGGGTACGCTGGCAGAAGCAGCACAATCTGAAGACAAACGAGTCCAAAGGGTCACTAGAATCGACACCTCAGATAATCAGGGAGAATCAGTTTTTTCTTTCAGGCTGAGTAGAAGAGGGAGAAGGGAGGTGTCTGTCAATGAACTTGGGGAGTGGGGTCCTTCAGGGCACTGGCACTTGGGAGTTGAGGCTCAGAAGACTGCCTGAGGAGAGTGCCAGGCTGCATGTGCTCTTGGTAGGGACCAAAGCTTTTCTTTCTGCTGTGCAGAATAATTTCAAAAGCCTTTCCCAAGGAGAGAATTCACATTTCATATCTGAGGTCTTATGTGATGCCCATATCACTGTTGAAAACAAGGACAGGCCTGTGCAAAGCAGCCTTGGACCCGGAAGGAAAACCCCAAGGCTCTGCAGCCTCCCTGCTCCCCTATTTAAGGCTGCGCTCAGCGAGGGATGGGCAGAGTGCTAGCTAGCCACATGGGGGCAGCAGGGCACCTGCGCTGCATCTGAGGTGAGAACTCTGATGTGTGGGTGGGGTCAGCCAATCGCTGTTCCACTAGGCATGGCCACCTCTGCACTTGCACCTTGGCAGTTATGAAATGTGGCGCTGCTGCGCTGGGACCCTATGTGGGTACAGAGCAGGACAGCTGTTGCGTGGATGGCAATTTTATCCTCTGGACAGTGATTGGTGACCCTCCTTATCCCTGCTGCTGTGCTTTGCAGGCTCCTGGCCTATTACTACCTCTGATGCTCTAATCCCGAATCCCTCTGCCCTCTGCTCCTGGCAGCATTCTTGGTGGCCTCACTCTCCACTAGTGTGTAGCCACCAAAGATGGTACCACCATTTTCCTGTTTGTACCACAGGGTGCTGCTCCCTGGGCCAACTTCTGGGAACTTAACTTCCCATGGAGACCCAGGCCAGGGCCTGCCCCTCAGAGTCACGACTGTGTTGTGGTCCTCCTGTCTACTGTGCTGAATGCATTCAGGAGGTTGTTCACTACTCAACGTGGGTCATCATGCAGCCCTTGCTGTTCCCACAGTTTAACAGAGAAGGAAACTGAAGCCCAGATGAGTAAACCTGGCCAGGGCCACTCAGCTGGAAAAGAGCAGAGCTGAACTCAAACCCAAGACTGTCTGGCCCTGGTGCCTGAGTTGGGAAGGTGCTGTCGACCTCCCCATCTGCCTCACTTTCAGCTTCGTCCTCCAGAGAAACCACTCCCATTTCCTCATGTTCCACCTTGTGCTCAGCACACACTGTCACTCCACTCCACAGTGCGATTTTTTTTTTTTTTTTTTGAGATGGAGTTTCGCTCTTGTTGCCTGGGCTGGAGTGCAATGGCACGATCTCGGCTCACTGCAACCTCCGCCTCCTAGGTTCAAGCAATTCTGCCTCAGTCTCCTGAGTAGCTGGCATTACAGGTATGTGCCACCACGCCTGGCTAATTTTATATTTTTAGTAGAGACAGGTTCTCCATGTTTGTCAGGCTAGTTTCGAACTCCCAACTTCAGGTGATCCACCCGCCTCAGCCTCTCAAAGTGCTGGGATTATAGGCATGAGCCACTGTGTCCTGGGGTTTTTTTCTTTTTAAGATGGAATTGTCACCCAGGCTGGAAGTGCAGTGGCATGATCTTGGCTTACTGCAACCTCTGTCTCCTGCGTTCAATTCTGCTTCAGTTTCCTGAGAAGCTGGGATTACAGGTGCACGCCTCTATGCCCAGCTAATTTTTATATTTTCGGTAAAGATGGGGTTTCACTATGTTGGCCAGGCTGGCCTCAAACTCCTGACCTCAGGTGATATACCTGCCTTTGTCTCTCAAAGTGCTGGGATTACAGGCTGAGCCCCTGCACCGGGCTCAGCAGGGTTCTCGATGTGCCACCATTGAATCCCATACCACTGAGTCTGGCATTAATTTCACAGCCTCATCTCAGTTCTCACACAGCAGAGCCCTCCTGCTTGTCCTGCGTTCTGTGCCGGCTCATTGTCTGCTGAGTTAGCTGTGGCCGTCCGTCCTCAACCTGCCGTGGGTCTCCCCAAGCAGTCATCAGCATCACCTTGACTGATTTCCAGGGAACACCTCAGCCAGGCCTTGCCTCTGAGCTCCAGCTCTGAGACAGTGTCTTATCTGTACATCTGCTGGTCTCTGCAGAAATGTCCACATCCTTGTCCCAGCTTACTGTGGTCTCACTACCTCCAGCTTACAGGGTGCCCATAAACTTAGTGTCCTGACAGTTGCCACTTGCTTGTCTTCTCTCAACAGCTGTCCCTTCTAGTCTGCCCTCCACTAGTGGCTGTAAAGGGTGCTGTGACCATGGTCCATGTGAGAAAGGCAGGCCTGAACTAAGAAGTGGACGGCCAGAATGGAGAGGAGATGCTTGGAGAGCTGTCTTGGGAATTGGTGACTGGATACAGGGGAGGGAGGGGAGATACCAAGAGGGCACCTGGGCTCATTTGTAGACTGCTGGATTTTGAGACTCCAAATAGGCTGGGTCGGAGATGCAGAGCTGAGAATGATGTGTATGGACGTGGGCAAAGTGAAGGGATTTAATGAGTTCTCAGGTGGGGTGAGAAAGACAATTGAGAGGTGAGCAGTGACAGAAGAAACTGCAAAGGAAACAACTGCTCAGGGAGGGGCTGGCCAGGGGCCCATGGCTGAGGAGACTTGAGGGAAGAGTAGCTGTCCAAGCACTTGAATTGAGGTTGCCCACATTTGGCTACAAGATCGTGGCTGGCCTTGATGGAAGCTGGGAAGCCACAAGGCAGAAGCTGACTTGCAGAGGTCCTGGTGAGAGCGGCAGCAGCCAGTCACAGGAAAGCTTTGGATGAAGAGCCTTTTTTCTTCCTCCTGACACTAGTTATTTCCAGGCCTAGGATATACTAGAGGGTTGGAGTGGAGGCAAATCTTCAGGGTGATGTGGCCTGTGGAGAAAACAGGCTTAGTTCTTGCCAGCGTCAGTGGCTCATTCTTGTAATCTCAGCACTTTGGGTGGCCAAGGTGGGTGGATCGCTTGATGTCAGGAGTTCAAGACCAGCCTACCCAACATGGTGAAACCCTGTCTGTCTACTAAAAATAACAAAAATTAGCCGGGCATGGTGGTGGCTGCCTGTAATCCCAGGTACTCAGGAGCCTGAGGCAGAACTGCTCGAACCTGGGAGATGGAGGTTGTTGCAGGGAGCTGAGATTATGACACTGCACTACAGCCTGGGTGACAGCAAGACTGTCAAAAACAAAAGTTCTGTTACTTCAGGTCACCCTGGTTGTAAGAGTGCTTATCTGTATCCAGCTTTTTGCAGAGCTCAGGGAGGCCAGGGGACCTTACCCTCCACTGTATTCTGCATTGGAGGGTTCTGTTCTTTCTGGCTGTGATGGCCTGGCACTCTTCACCACTGACCCCAAACCCCTGCCATAGGCAGGGACAGGAGCTTCCATCACAGTTACCCAGTGCTAGTTACTAGCTCTGATAGAATCACACCTTGAGTTTCCAAGTCTTGCTGAAGGTGCTTCAGTGGCACATGGATGACTACAGTTCCCTCCATTCAAAGGCACATGTGCAATACTAAAAGTATTTCTCAAAATTTGTTTTTATTTACGTTTGAGTCAATTACATGCGTGTTTTATTTTTTAAACAGTGATTAGCAAAATGCATTAAAATCTTAAAATAGCAATTAAATATACAAAAATATAGCTTAGAAAAATGCGAATGTTTAAAAATATTCTGCTGCAGAATTTTTAGTGTACAAACATGTCTATGAAACCTGAGGCTCAGCATTTCATAAACTTTTTTTTTTTGAGTGAGTTACACAATACCTAGTGAGGAAACCTGAGGGCCAAACTACAAGAATACAGTGCCCTCTTTCCTGGCAATGCTCTGTCAAAAGACCCAGAAGCAACAGTTATCAGCAACACTAGGAAGACCCGCTGTCACCAGAAGGGACTTCCTAACACTGGCTACACCTGCTTGCTCCTTCCCCCACAGCACTGGTGGGGGCCTGGGAGGGAAGGGAAGATGGAGAGGAATGGTGTGCAGTGGGCCTAAGATGCTGACCCACCAGGCTTGGACTGGCACAGAGAACTGAGAACAACTCCCTCAAGCGCAAGTCGACTGACACTGGAGGGACCCAAGTTTAGGTAAATGTCCCTGGGGTAGGGAGGTGTTCTACCTGACCCTGTTGTCACAGAAGTGAGGACCGGATGGTAAGCCAAAGGTGCTGACACTTGGTCAAAAAGTAGAGTACATCTTTGCATCTTGTAACAATTTGGGCTGTATAGCTGAATTGGCAAAGTAAGGTTTGCTGAACAAGACCCGCTTTTTGTTCTGATACGTCCGCTGAAATGGAAGCACATACCACAGCACGTGGGAATCCCTTATTAATCTTATTTACTAAAGAGCCATGACCTAAGGCATGATTTTGGACACATCCATCTTAAGAACTTGTAACAACTACAGGAAAAGACAAGATACACCCAGGGCCAGAGATTCTACAAATGCCAGAAGGGTGGAGTTGATACACATTTTTTTTTCTTAAGTTTTGGGTTATGGGACCGGTTCCGATTTTAATCCAGGGGAGGATCTGGGCTGCTGCTCTAGGGGGCAGGTACACCAGTAGGTGGGTGTGGACCAAGAGGCACTGGGCAGCTGCTGGGAAGCAAGGCACAAGTCTCTGCTGCTACCTGCTCTTTTATCACCAGGGACAAAAATGATTGGTGGAGTAATTTCTGTTGTCAAATGGAAAACGAGGGGTAAGGGGAAAGTTCTGTAGGAAGCATTTTCTTTTTGAGACAGAGTCTTGCTTTGTTGCCCAGCCTGGAGTGCAGTGGCATGATCTCAGCTCACTACAACCGCTGCCTCCTGGGTTCAAGCAATTCTGTCTCAGCCTCCCGAGTGGCTGGGATCATGGGCATGTGTCACCATGCCTGGCTAATGTTTGTTTTTTTAGTAGAGAGGTTTTCACCACACTGGTCAGGCTGGTCTCAAACTCCTGACCTTAGGTGATGCACTCCCCTTGGCCTCCCAAAGTGCTGGGATTAGCCAGAAGCATTTTCTTTTTAAAGCGTGTGCAAACAGTAGGAAGGCCAGCCTGGGCAACAAAGTGAGACCTGTCTCTATAAAAATTATGAAAATTAGCCAGGGGTGCTGGTGTGCACCTGTAGACCCCAGCTATAGACTGAAGCAGGAGGCTCCCTTGAACCCAGGAAGTTGAGGCTCCAGTGAGCTACAATGGTGCGCCACTGCACTCCAGTCTGGGTGATGAGACCCTGTCTCAACAATAAAAAGTTGGGAGGGAACGGGAGCAGCTCCATGAACTGATACTCAGGCATATCCACAGTTAACTATGACTCATTGTGCGCTTGCTCAGTAGCTAAGATGTCTGCCCCACAAAATAGACGCCTTCAGCCTAAGAGACCATGACAGTTATAGCCAGACATCACCATTGGTCCTCACCTCAAACTGGCCAAGGTCAGGGAGGGCCCAGCAGCTGTCCAGGAACCTGCAGAGGCTGCTCAGAGCTGGGAGATGCTTGTGACACTAGCTACAGAGCCTGATCTTAAGGGTCCTGTTACAGATAGAAAGTCAATCAAAAATCTGGTTGGGCTCTTGGATTAGCTGGGCATTTGGGGTAAGGGAGGGACTGCCTTTGTATAGAAAACTAAAATTTCAGGCTGGGTGCAGTGGCTCACGCCTGTAATCCCAGCACTTTGGGAGGCCGAGTCAGGTGGATCACCAGAATTCAAGAGTTTGAGACCAGCCTAGCCATCATGTCAAAACCCATCTCTACTAAAAATGCAAATATTAGGCAGATGCGCCTGTAATGCCAGCTACTTGGAAGGCTGAGGCAGGAGAATCACTTGGAGGTGGAGGTTGCAGCGAGCCATGATGGTGCCCCTGCACTCCAGCCTGGGCAACAGACTGAGACTCCATCTCAAAACAAAAAATAAAATTTCAGTGCATTGCAATCAAATGAAAATATGTCTTACTCAAATATAATTGCAAAAACATCCCGCAATTCTAGGTTCACGTTTTATATTCTGATTTCTGGGATGGCTCTTCCCACATTAGTAGGAGTGTTCTTGAATACACTTGTATCACGAGTAGAAAAGGAGAAAAATTATACACACACATACACATGTGTGTACATGCAAATGATCTCTGGAAGGATACCCACACAAACTAAGAGTAGGTACCCATGGCGTGAGGAGCTGAGCTTGCTAAGCATCAGGAACTCAAGGAAGGCTTTTAACTACTTTATGATTTGTGATATGTAAAAATGATAATTAGCCAGTTGTGTTGGTGTCCACCTGGAGACCCACTGAGGCAGGAGGATCACTTGAGCCCAGGAAGTTGAGGCTGCAGTGATCTACAATGGTGCCACTGCACTCCAGCCTGGGTGACAACCAGACCATGTCTCAACAACAAAAAGTTGAGGGGGAAAGGGAGCAGCTCCATGCGAATGGACCACCTATTCAAAACATTAAGAAAGGAATATTTAGCACTGAACAAGTCAGAGTTCACTGTGGGCAAAGGCAGATTGAGATGACCAAGGAAAAAAGGGGCCAGGTGAACCTGGGACCCAGGGAAACCCCCTACAGCTCAGAAGGCTCTTGGGCTGAGGTTCTATTCCTATCATGATGGCAGAGGAGCCCATGTAACCCAGATGAGGTTATGTGGTATCAGCAGCCTCCGTGACACCAGGCCTGCTGCTCACCAGGCTCTGGGTACCAGCAAATCCTCACAAGAGGTGGCAGGGATGTTATAATCCCTGGGTAGTAGATAAGGAAAGAGACTAAGAGGCTAACCTGCAGAAAGGCCTAAGGCTAGTGAGTGGCAAGGGGCGATTCCATCACTCTCAGCACTCTGCCCAGAGCTCTGGGGATATCGTCCTGGATGTATTTCATAACTCCCAAGAAGCCTCTCAGAAAAATAATTCCTAGTTGTTCAAAGTAGCTTAAAGTGGTATCAGGCCACGGAGATGACACAATTTTGAAGTGGGGTTGTGAAAAAGGACAAGGCCCGAGGCCATTCCTCTGATGGATCCAAGGGGCTTGGCACTGGGGAAAAGGATCTTCAAGAACAGAGTATCTGGCAATGGTGGGAGGTACCCAGTAATCCTCAGCTCACACCTTCCCAGGGGCCACCTGCCCCTATTTGGCCATTTCTGTCCTGCCTTCCCCGGATAGGTGAGCACAAACTCCAAGGACCTTATCTGCCAGGGACAGGCCTAACCAAATCACTCTTGGCAAAGAAAAGCAGCAGATGTCAACTTCTAGTGTCTGATGCCAACCCAACCAGAAATCAAATCAGGCTGGTTTTGTTCCCTGTTTCTGAAGCCAGCTGAGTTGAGCCGTCCTGCTAGCAACTACTAGATAATGATTCAACCACCAGTGGAGTCCAGTTGGGGCTGAGTTATGCTCCACTAACCCACAGCAGATTAGCAACATTCTATCTTGGAACTGCTTAACACACACACACACACACACACACACACACACACACACACACACACACACGAGTATACCCAGTGGTCCAAGAGCAGACCAGAATCCCCATGCATCTAAACAGTAACAAGTTCCAGCAATTCCTGGAGAAAGGGGTTCAAGTCTCAGCCAAGAGAGTATAAAGGGCTCCCTAACTCATTTTTTAAAAAATGGATTATCTCTCAAAAACCCTGTGATTTTAATCAGAATTAAAGGAGGACGTAAATTAAAATGCCTTCTATTTGCATGTACAGCAATGCAGATGCACAGGAACGTCCTGGTGGAGGACCCAGATTCGGGGAGCAGGAATTTGGGTTGTGTTGCTAGGAGTTGCAGGAACTACTGCTAGTGACACTAGGCTTGCTGCAGAAGGACGTCACACCGAGAAAAGATGACTATGAGCAGAAAAAACTCACTGTTTCAGCTTCCAGCCCAATTCTAGCAGAAGGAATGCATTTTAAAATCACTCCACATTCACATGCGCTGAGAAGGTGGTTACTGGTCCCTCATCTGGGCAAAGCAGACCCAAGCTGGTGCCGAGTGCAGAGTGCAGAGCATTCTTGTGCTTTCCTCTCATGGCTGGAACTATCTGGGCTGTGTGCCCTGGTCCAGTGCTACGCATCAACCCCCTCAACATGCCTGTGGCTCTGACACAGGGAGATGAATTAATGTGCCTTTGTTCAAATACACGGACTTGGTGTGGCTGTCTTTTGTTAGTACTTATTCACAGGGACAGTAAAAGGCTGCAGCTGAAAGACTAGAATCCTACAAAAGCTGTGAGCAGCAATAATTTGCAGTACTGATCACAGGAAGTTCCTCCTTTGAGGGGAAAAACATTCTCATTCCTATTAAAGCCCCATAACAGAGAGGTGACATCTGTTCCATGGCCATTCCATGGAAAATGGTGGCTGCTGGCCATTAGTGATGCTATTCCAGAAACAAGCCTCCTTCTGACACTGGTCACCAAAAACAGCTCACTATAAACTGCGTGTTTGCAGCATTAACTCTATCGTGCTTTAAACAGAAAATGCAAAAAGGCGGTGAAAGCAGGAGTGCACAGATAGTTCTTTCCATGGGTGCCAGACAGGCTAAGGCTTTCATATAAAAATATTCCTCACTTTCCTTGTCCTGTTTAGGAAGCAGTCCAGTTTGGCATACCACGAATAGGTCACACATAGGAAATGGCCTATTTTGACCAACTGGATTTGTAATTTTCCAAACTGGATTCTGTCCAGCACTTTTCTAGACTAATGGAAAATTTCCCCCCATCTGACCCCAGCCACCTGAGCCAAGGACAGTTTCCCTCCATAAGAGGATAGAGGTTGGATTCCAGAAAAAAAAAATCCTAGTGTCATGCCACGAGTGGAGTAGCAAAGCTCCCTCCATCCATTCTCCATGTCACGCAGACTGTTTTCCTAATGAAAAACCTCCCCCACTCACATCTGTGGGATGGAGTGGAGCAGAGCAGTTGACGAGGAATTGAGGCAGGTGCTCCTAAGATGGAGGGAGGCAGAGAGCAGGGCTATGGAAAAGAATTTTCCATCTGACCTACTGCTGCTTTCCATAGCTAATTTATACAATATTCACAAATCCTAATGGACTCTGAGTCATTTCTAGAAAAGTTGGACAGAAAGAGCCAAGAGCAGCATGCGTTTCTCTCCTATAAATACACTTTCGGTTAGTTTCACAAGTCCAAATACTGAGGCACACACCAATGGTGGACAGCCCTGCAGGAGCTTCCTGAAACTATTTACAATTCCAAGTGGATCACCGGCTTCAGATTTACACAGGGATCTTATTTGGGATAAAGTGTTAAAAAGTGAATGACAGGCATTTGTTTTTTCTGAAGCCGAGAGATAGGGCAAGAGAGGGAAGAGACGGGAGGAGGGGGAGAGGCCAAGTGATTGGCATTCCCCTTGTCCAGCTGGGCCAGGAGTATGGGCCATTCTCAAAAAGCCACTGCTCTTTGGAGCCACTCGAGGGGTTCACAGTGGCTCCCTCCTGAGGCAGTGGGCCCACAGCAGCCACAACGAAACCACACTGCACATGTGGGGATGTGGGCAGCCCCCTGAATCATTCAAGGACAGTGTGGGCTCAGGGTCCACGCCCTGCTGGGGCTCTCCATGAGCCTCACTGGTACATAGAAGGGGGAATGCTATGAGGAAATGGCTTCTGGCCAGGCCTTTCCAAGTGCATCTAATGTTTTCAGCTCAGATGATCTGACAGCAGGTGTTGTGATCTTGAGGGGGAAATGGGTGGTGAGGGACACTGCTACTCAAAGCCCTTGGGTTCCAAGATGGCCTTACCAAAGGAATATAAATGAGCCTTGTGGGCACTGCCTCACCAACCACTAGTGGCTGGTTATGCTGGTTTTACTTGGCTCAAGGGCTGCCAGGAGGGTTTGCTGCTACAAAGGCCTGCACAGCCTGCACAGAAACCCATCCATCCGAAGGTGGGGGTGTGGCTTTAACGACCTGCTCTTAGTTCTCGTCTTTACCCTTCTGCTTGACACGGAGATGAGGCTCCAGGAGAGAGAATGTAATATAGTAAGAGACTCTCACGAAGTTTCTTGAGGCATACCCACAGGCTCATCCACTCCTCTTCTCTCAGCAGGGGGTAGTGTCAAAGTGCTTTGGTTGTCATAAGACCCAGACACCTAGATTCCCAGCTTGGCTGGCCCAAGAGTTCTTCATGAGGCAAAGAAGTGGCAGCTGGTGTCCTCAGTGGAGAGCAGCCAATACAGACACCACTTGTGTTCTTCCTGGCTCCACACGGATGTTGTGTCCAGCAACAGTCTGATCCTTGTAGTAAGCTATACAATGTTCTCTGCCCCGGGGAGGGGCCCCTGAGGGGGTCCACGGTCCTGCTTACTGTGCAACTGGGCCAGCTGTAGAACTGGCATGTTGCACAGGGGACACACTTTACGAACCTCCAGCCATTTAATAAGGCACCTGCAGAAGGAGACACCACAGGGGGAAAACATCAGTCTTATGCTCATGGCACGGCTGCTGTGCTGAATAGTGAACATATCTGTCACCCGGACAAGGTCTGCTGTATGGTCCAAGGAGCTCCCCCACTAGGTGGTGTACGATATCACCCGTTTGAGAGAAGGAAAAGACAGATAGAAGGAGGGGGAGAGGTCAAGGGGTCAGCAATCCCCTCCTCCTTCTCCAGAGCCTCCCATCTGCATGTGAAGCCACAGATCACATGTGATTCCCTCAGTTGCCCATGATTTCTTAAAGAACAAAGTACACTGAGGAGGGAGGTGGGAAGTAGGAAAAATAAAATTTTCTAATAGAAATACGAAACACAAAATTGTAAGAGAAGAAGAAATACTAATATGTCTGCAGGAAGTGGAGGAGAGGGGCCCACATTACTACTTATATCCAGACTTCATGTTGATTTTCAGTAACAATGGTTTTGATTTAAATATGTTTTTAGGAGATGGAGGCTCTCATTGGAAAATTCCAGTAAAAGAGATGTTTATTGCCTGGGCTGCAAGTGCTATGGGCTGACTTGGCTCTCTGCCCATAGTCCTGACGTGGTGGTCATGTTCCACCACTCTGCTCTCTCCTAATGTCACGCATGCACACACACAAACATCCCACCCGTAGGGTGCTGTCAACTTTCTGCATTTCAGACCAATCATGAAGCCATCAAGCCTGTCTGGCATTGCCCTAAAACTTAAAAGAAGTTGGTCCATGTCCCTCAAACTCGGGTCTCATTAAATAATTCCATACCAATACTCACTTTCTGTGGAAGGCGTGCTTACATGGGCAAATCCCCAACTCATCTCGAGGCTTGAAGTCTTCTAGACACACTGCACAGAGCTGAAAGACCAAGGTACAAATGAAGCCAAGTGTCTGCTAAGCACCCTCCCAGGTACAAAGTAGAGTTCAGGCTCCTGAGGCTCAACCATTTGAAAGGACTCATAACTCATTAGGCAAAAGAAACAGGCCCAGCCAGGCATGGTGGCTTATACCTGTAATCCCTAAACTTTGGGGAGGCTGAGGCAGGAGGTTAGCTTGAGCCTAGGAGTTCAAGACCAGCTTAGGCAAGAGAGTGGGACTCTGTCTCTACAAAAATTTTTAAATTAGCTGGGCGTGGTAGTGTGGCTGAGGATCCATCTTTCTTGATGGATTGCTTGAGACCAGGAGGTCAATGCCGCAATGGGCTGTGATCACGCCACTGCACTCCAGCCTGGGTGACAGAGTGAGACTCTATCTTAAAAAAAAAAAAGAATGAATAAATGAATGAAAAGAAAAAGGTCCAAATGGATAAGAGTCTCCTGCTCTTCCTGTTCCACATCGTCAAGGAGATAGGCAGATAGGAGAAGACAGAAAGCAAGAGGCAGCTGCCTTACTTCAGTGCCTCAGAAGCATGGGACTGAGGGAGGGTTACTCTCACACCCACCAGCTTAACCTGCTGTCGCTTTCTTGGTGTGCCGAAGGGCTGGGCCTCCCTGGGTTCTCTACCTGCTCAGCAGCATAGACCTGACTCCCAAGCACTCACTGAAGGGGACTACCCAAGCCCTGGCAATCTTTTCTCATGTTTTTATGGTACAGCTTGCAATAACATGCTATTTATAGTTCCTGGGGCCTCCCACTTTGGCCCTGTCCTTCTGTCAGTGTCTCTTTGTCATATAAAAAGTTACTGAAGGCGGCCGGGTGCAGTGGCTCACGCCTGTAATCCCAGAACTTTGGAAGGCCACGGCGGGCAGATCACGAGGTCAGGAATTTGAGACCAGCCTGACCAACATGGTGAAACCCCATCTCTACTAAAAGCACAAAAATTAGCTGGGTGTGGCGGCATGCGCCTGTAATCCCAGCTACTCAGGAGGCTGAGGCAGGAGAGTCGCTTGAACCCAGGAGGCAGTGGCTGCAGTTAGCTGAGACTGTGCCACTGCACTACAGCCTGGCCGACAGAGCAAGACTCCATCTCAAAAAAAGAAAAAAAGGTTACTGAAGACTCACTAAATTAATTCATGAAGATGTGCAGATGGGGCTAGGACTGCTCTCAGGGGATAACTAGTCTCCATAGCTTGGAGAGAGGCCTTCTCCTTCATGCCCAGGGGCTTGGTTCCCATACTGCTTCCTGGGCATTCACCAGTGCCTGTGGACACCATGTGTTGCCACACTGACCCATTTTACAGACGAGGACACAGAAGCTCAGGAAAAGATTGTTGCTTGAGGCCATTTAGTTGGAGAGTGGCCAGGTCTGTTGCACTGATGTGCTACTACACCATTTCTCTCTCCTGCCCAGTGGTTGAACTCCTTCCTCCCTACTTGCTTCCCTATTCATTTCCAAAGATCCTGGTTCAGGCCAGCATCATTTCCAGCCCAGACTGTTGATGGCTCTGCTGTCATTAGTTTCTTAACCTGTAACATGTAACCCAGTCTTCTTCAGTTATGTAACATGATCTAGGCAGGACATGTGGCTCCTGGTGCCCAGTGGCCAGTACCGTGTTAGTTTTTAAACATCCTTGCTGAGGTAGCTTTCAGGGCCTTGTGTGTATGACAGACAAGATCTTCAAAGAAGGGGGAGAATAGATAACTCCCCACTAAGATGGCAGGGGAGTAGGGAGGAGAGCAAGATAGGTGGCTGGCCTTGGCTCAGACACACTAGCTATGTGGCCTCTGCCCTCAGGACTCCTCGCAGAGCACTGTTCCTTCATCTGTACAATAAGGACATGACCTGCCCCACCCCACAGAGGGCTGTCATCAGCTCATCTTGGGGGACAGGGCTGAAGATGTCATTTTATTGACATCTACATTTTATAATGGAAGCACTGTTCTTAAACCCATTTTTGTTTTCTGAAGGGAGGCTGAGAACAAGCTGTGGGTAAAGTAAGAATCCAGCAGTTTCAGCCTAGTAGTATCTTTCTGGGCCTCAGCTTCTCACCTGTCAAGGGGGAATGATGCTCCCATTCCTAGACTGTGATTGGCCATCTGGCCTTCAGCAGCCAGTTTTCCTCCCAGTCCTGCCTTCCGAAACAGGGTCAGGACTATCCTCTGGAGCTTTAGCACTGATCCTACTGAAGCACAGGTTGGATGAGTTGTTTATTTTTATTCACTTATTTTTCCAGGACCCAAAATTAGATTAGTAGCCTTTCCAAAATGGAGATGCTATTAATAGTATAATGCATTATTATGTTCTGAATAAACAAATCCTAAAACTATAGCCTCCTGAGAAAACACAAGATAAACTCTGACATGTTAAATGCTAAAGGTGACCAAAGTCAATGGCAATCACAAAAAGAGAAAAGCATCAGATGACTTCCTAGAAGTTTTCTGAGAACCGAACTCATTTTACAACTTTCCTTTACAGATCATATTTTGCAAATAAACTTTCCTTTCCAGATTCAGTGAGATTATATCTCCAGTGTGACTTCCCATCACCATTCAAAAATTGAGATATGATTAATATACTAAAATATTCACTCCTTTAAGTAATGGTACAATTCAGCAGTTTTAAAGTATATATTTCTGCAGCCATCTTTAGAATCTAATTCCAGAACATCTACATCAAATGCAACCCCCACCCAGAAGAAGCCCATATTCAGAGGCAATCACTCCCCATTCTCCCCTTTCCCCAGACTCTGGCAACTAGCTACTAATCTACTTTATTTCTTGATGGATTTGTCTAATCTGAACATTTCATATAAATGGAACCATAAACTATGTAATCTTTCATGCCTGGGTTCTTTAGCATAATGACTTCAAGGTTCATCTATATTGTAACATATATCAGTACTTCACTCATTTTCATGGCTGAATAATATTCCATTATACATATGTACTGCATTTTGTTTACCCATTTATCTGTTGATGGCCATTTGGGTTGTTTCTACCTTTTGGCTATTGTGGACAACGCTACTATAAACATTGTTGTACAAGTATCTGACTGAGTCCTTGTTTTCAATGCTTTTGGGTATGTAGCAAGGAATGGAATTGCTGGGTCATATGATAACTCTATATTTACCTTTTTTGAGGAGCTACCAAACTGATTTCCAAAGTAGCTGTACCATTTTACATTCCTACCAGCAGTACATATGAGTTGTAATTTCTCCATATAGTCACCAATACTTATTCTTGTCTTTTTTACTATAGTTAACCTAGAGGGTGTAAAGGGGTCATTTCCTTAATGACTAACAATGGCGTGCTTACTGACTACCGCATATCTTCTCTGGAGAAATGCCTATTAAGTCCTTTGTCAATTTTTTAGTTGACTTATTTTTTTTATGATTATGATTATTATTTTTGAGGCAGAGTCTTGCTCTGTTGCCCAGGCTGGAGTGCAATGTTGTGATCTGTGCTCACTGCAACCTCTGCCTCCTGGGTTCAAGTGATTCTCCTGCCTCAGCCTCCTGAGTAGCTGGAATTACAGGCTCCCACCACTATGCCTGGCTAGAGACTGAGTTTCACTATGTTGGCCAGGCTGGTCTCGAATTTCTGACCTCGTGGTCCACCCACCTCGGCCTCCCGAAGTGCTGGGATTACAGGCATGAACCACTGCACCTGACCTTTCTTTTTATTATTAAGTGGTATGGTAAGGGTTCTTTATATATTTTAGACTGAAATCCCTTATCAGATAGCCAACTAATTTTGACAAAGGTGTAAAAAGCATTTCAATGGCAGAATAGCCTTTTCAACAAACGATGTTAGAGCAACTGCACATTCATAGGCATCAAAAACACACACAACCTAAGCAGAAGCACACCTAAGAACAACCAAAGCACATGACACCTAATGCAAAGCAACCGAAGGAAAAAATGGATAAACTGGATTTCATCAAACTAAAAAACTTTTGTTCTGCAAAACATCCTGTTAGGATGAAAAGACTGGGAGAAAGTATTTACAGACCTTTTTATTTTGCAGGGTTCTTAGTGAGTACTATGAGTTCTTTGTACATTTTGAATACCAGACCCTTATCAGATATGACTTGTAAACAGTTTCTCCTTGTGGGTTGCCTTCACTCTCAGGATAATGTCCTTTGAAGTATAAAAGTTTTTAATTTTCTTTTTGAGACAGTCTTGCTCTGTCACCCAGGCTGGAGTACAGTGGTGCCATCACAACTCACTGCAGCCTCAATCTCCCCATCTCAAGCAATCCTCCAGCTCCTCCAACCTCAATCTTCCAAGTAGCTGGGACGACAGGCACACACCACCACACCCAGCTAATTTGTTTTTTAAGTAGAGACAAGGTCTCACTATGTTGCCCAGGCTGGTCTCGAACTCCTGAGCTCAAGCAATCCTCTTGTCTTAGCCTCCCAATGTGTTGGGATTACAGGAATGAGCCACCATGGCTAGCCTGATGAAGCTTAACTATTTTTTCTTTGCTTGCTTGTGCTTTAGGTGTCAAATCTAATAATCCATTGCTCAATCCAAGGGTATGAAGATTTATACATCTATGTTCATTTATCCTCTTTTCTTTTCTGTTTTTTTAGAGACAGAATCTTGCTATGTTGCCCAGGCTGGTCTCAAATTTCTGGACTCAAGCCAGCCTCTCACCTCAGCCTCCCAAGAAGCAGGGATCACAGGCATGTGCCATGGCACTGGGCTCACCTGTTTATGTCTAAAAGTTTTATAATATTAGCTGATACATTTCGATTTTTGATTAACTGTTGAGTAATCTTTGTATACAGTATGAGGTAGTTGTCTAAATTTATTCTTTTGCATGTAGATATCCAGTTGTCCCAGCACGACTGATTGAAAAGACCACTCTTTTCCCACTGAATTGTCTTGGCACCCTTGTTGAAAATCAATTGACCATAGATGTTTGAATTTATTTTTGGACTTGCAATTCTATTCCACTGATCTATACAGCTATCA